TTCCCCTGGCAACTCCATTTCCCTCTCCACCATTTACTTTGTCCCATAGGTGAAAAAACCTCTCACTACCACCTGTCCACCTGGCCATCAGCCAAGATGAGTCTTCCTGCTCCTCATAATTGCTCATCCTGATTGACAGGCTGGCAAGCCAAGACACTGGATCATGATGATAGCAAAACCATACATCAGGTTGTTTAGGAAGGGTGAGAAGCAAAGAATTCTGATGGTACTGGGGAAACCACCTCCACAACAACTTTACTCATCCTTTGTCAAAATTTTGCTTTCCCATTTTGTCTGCTTTGTTATAAAAAGACTATATTTAGGATGATTATGGTAGAAAGATAAATAAATTATGTGTTTAAATTAGATAAGCTAATTTCTTACTCTATAGAAGGTTCTGAGAAGTTCTTAGACCAAAAATTATGACACCTAAAATTTAGGCAAAGTTGCAGGAAACAAAGTATGTTTCCAACAGGGTTAATTCTAACATAGCCACAGAGTACTGTCAACATGCCAAGAAGGAAAACAGGTTAAAATGGATGGTTTGAGTCCCTTTGTTTCTAGCATCTACTCTCCATCTCCATGTACCATACTGGCAGTGTCAGCACTGAAGACAGCCCAACTGGAAACACTCTCCACACCCAGCTCCCCACAAATTGTCTAGGAACCTGATCCTGCAAATACACAGGGCAGAAAAAACAGAAGAGAAAAATCTGATCTTTCACATTCATTAACATCTCATACAATGCTCACCATTTCATTTGTGCTCACGTAATCTTATTCCTAAAACAAATCATTTCAGGGTCAAATGGCTATAGCCCTTCCACCGATGGGGAGAATACATATTTCACGCACAATTGTATTGGTGCAAAGGACACACCAAGAAAGAAGTGAATCTTTCCCAACTGATCTGTGCTCACTTTTAACCCACCACTCCTTCCCCCCCAAAAAATGGGGAAGAAAAAAATTCTTAAAGTTGAATGCTTTATATATAGGCAAATACAGAACATGAGATTTTGCAAAGATGAAAATTTTTTAGGAGCACACAAAGGTCAATGAAAAGCTCATAACTCACTTAAAGGCATGTGTAAAGTTTAACCCAAAAATGGATAGTTTGTTTCTGCTTTTCCATTGGTGAATATAACAGGCTGTGTGCATCTGTGCTCAGTCATGTCTGACTCTTCGTGACCCTATGGACTGTAGCCTGCCAGGCCACTCTGTCCATGCGCTTTTTCCAGTTAAGAGTATGGAGTGGGTTGTCATTTCCTCCTCTGGGGATCTTCCTGACCCAGGGATCAAATCCGTATCTCCTGCATTGGCAAGCGGATTCTTTACCGCTGAGCCACCCAGGAAGCCCCGTATACCAGGGTACCAAGCTTAAATTTAAAGGGCGCCGTGATAGGAAGAAACACGAGGGTGCAGAAGCAAACAAAGCCAGAGAGGCTGGGCTGACCTGGTAACTAGCTACCCATCAAATGCCAGTTAGGAATTTCCAGAGAGTACAGAACCTATGCTATTTTACTTTCAAGACTTCAATTCTAAACCTAAAGTGTGCTGTATTTCAGATTCTCTTTCTAGATGGAAAAGAAAAAAACAACAAAGATTTCCAGACCTGGGTGTTTAAAGGGCCTTCACACAGTAAATCAACCTATTGCTGTCTTGTTTTCTCCACAGCCAGACTGAAATAATACAGTGCCAGCAGAGGTGTGAACTACCCCCATTCATCTTAATGGAGTGTTAACTTCAAAGGCTTGTTTTAACCATTTAAATGCTAAGCTCATGAGTAAACATTCTCTGAAAAAAAAGTACAATTTAAACATTCACCTTCAACATGTGAAAGTAATTTATAGTCTCAGCACTTCGTCTTTTAATTTAGCAAACAAGTCTCCAAGTGTTAGAAAAATACAGATTTTGTGCTTTACTTAGTTTTATTTTAAATAGTTATTACCTAATAAATTATGAACATTAAGCCCAAAATGAGAAGGCCTGTATTTCCCAGGAAAAATGCTGAGGAGTACTTGAACAAGGTTTTATGTGAAATCCTAATGAAGGGGGCACTGCTTTTTACCAATCATCTTACTAGTTTCCTCCAAACTCATAGGGAAAAGTTACAACTCCAAACAGGCAACTAGATAAGGCAGAACATGAAAGTAAAATAAAAATAAACAGCTCTACAAATAATTTCTCTTGATATTAACTAAGTTTTGGGCAGTTAAATAGGTTACTTGTCCCTTTGCCAAACCTCCCATGATCCCATCTCGTGAGCAGGTGACAAATATATTAATTGATGCCCACCTGTCATCACGCTTAACATCTACCCCTGGGGACATCCTTGCATCTGCTGCAGACTTAGGGTTATTTTGGTATTATTGGAGTTAGATTTATTTTAGCAGCTGAACACCTATTTGTATTTGGATCTATAATTTCCCATAGAAATGTGGGAAAGCACTAAAAGGAATGCACATGGGGCCAGTTCTCCTGTGAGTGATGGCTAGAAAGATTCTAAACATAATAGTTGCGCAAGATGGAAGAGAGATTCCATGTCCTTGTCCGAAAGCAAATTCATTTTACAGGTCAAGGTGAAGGGATGGAAAAAAAGGGGATAAATATCCAATCTATTAAGAGAGCCTGTTTTGGTCTGCACCTAATTTATACAAGGTCATTTAATCCTTTCAACACAATCCTGTATAATTGGTATTAACTCCATTTAATACCTATGTGAAAGTAGAGGTTTAGAGAGGTTAAGTAGTTTGTCTAAACTCACTGAGATTTTCATCTATGTCTTTCTAACCCCCAAAGTTAAAGTTTTTCCATTACACCGTGCTGATCACAAGTTGCCAAAGAGATATCTCAACTCAAAAGAGCAGCTCAGTTATCAATTTTTCAGTCCATTTCCTAAGCGGGAAGCAAGGGGGCACCTGCAAAAGTGTGTGTTTTCATACATGCAAATTGGCAGTTTGCATGTAATTCTCTACTTTACATGTGCTCAGGGGCAGGATTACATTTTACTGATATACCCTGGCTTTGGCAGGCTGCTAACAAGGAGCCTTTACACAGAACACGCCCCAGGGCGGTGGGGGAGGGGAACCTAGCTGCTGTTTCCAACCAGGAATAAGCCACAGCAACGGGAAGGTGGGAATGATTTGTAACTTCCAAACAAAATATGATATAAATCATCAATATTGGTCTCTGTCTGTCAAGTAGAAAGTCACATGTTTTAGTGACAAATGAGAAGGCTCAGAGAACTTTCAAATCCACAGCCAGTCATCACAGCTCTATCTCATACTGCATAACAGAGGAAAATCATACATTTCTTAGACAGGATTTGGAGTCAGGGCAAAATACCAAGTGAAATAATCCCATAGTTTTGTTATGAGTGACTAATGTTGACATTAACGCATGAACTAAGATTTAATTTTGTATATAAACAATGCACTGATTTGTTAAAAAAACACAAAGAAACAAAAAATTATCTCAATATATTTAATAACATTAAAAAACTTCTCAGTGAAAGATGCTGCTAAGAGAATGAAAAGACAACCCACAAACTGGGAGAAAATCTTTGCAAAAGACATGTCTGATAAAGGATTGGTATCTAAAACACATGAAGAATGCTCAAGACTCAACAGTGAAAAACAACCCAATTTTAAAAATCAGAACCTCACCAAAGAAAATACACAGATGGTAAATAAGCATGTTCAACATCACCTGTTATTAGGGAAATGCAAATTAAAACAAAAATGAGATATTACAACCGCACACCCACTATTAGAATGGTGAAAATACAAAATACTGACAACACCTGATGCTGGCGAGGATAAGCAACAGCAGGAACTCGGACACACTGCTGGCAGGACTGCAAAACGTTCCAGCCCACTTTGGAAGGCTGTTAGGCAGTGTCTTACAAGACTGACTATCCTACCACACCATGCAGCGACTGCTCAGAAGCAAAGGCTCTGGTACTGGTATGAACCCAAACAAGCTGAAAATCTCTGTCCACACAAAAATTTGCCTACAAATGTTTATAACAGCTGTATTCACAAATGTCAAAATTTGAAAGCAAACAAGAGGTCATTCAACAAGTGAAAGAAAAAACAAACTGTGGTGCACATGTGCTAAGTCACTTCAGTCGTGTCTGACTCTTTGCGACCCTATGGACTGTAGCCCACCAGGCTCCTCTGTCCATGGGATTCTTCAGGCAAGGACACTGGAGTGGGTTGCCATGCCCTCCTCCAGGGGATCTTCCCGACCCAGGAATGGGTCTCTTAGTCTCCTGCATTGGCAGGCGGGTTCTTTACCACTAGCACCACTTGGGAAGCCCCAAATCGTGGTACATCCATACAATGGAATACTATCAGTGATTCTAAAAAAAAAGCTATCAAGTTATGAAGAGACATAGAGCAAACTTAAACACATATTGCTAAGTGAAAGAAGCCAGTCTGAAAGGTTAGATACTGCATGATTCCACCAAACAATGTTTTAGGAAAGGCTCATGGGGAAAGGCTCATGGTTTTTATGGAGACAGTAAAAAGATTTGTGGTTGCCAATGCTTGCATCAAAAGTGAGCCCTAATGTAAACCATGAACTTCAGTTAATAATAATATATCAATATTGGCTCATCAAGTATAACAAATGTACCTCACTAATGCAAGATGTTAGTAATATGGGAAACTATGGGTGTGCTAGAATGAGGGAATATATGAGAACTCTCTGTACTTTCTGCTCAGTTATCTCTGTAAACATTAAAACTACCCTATTAATTCAAAAAAATAAACTCACAAAGATGTTCAACATATTTAAGAGCACTTTGAGTTTGTTTCTTATTTTGATTAAAACTGCTACATCTACTTTCTCCTACCCACTCTTGTTCTGCTTTTCTATTATGTTTGCAAAAATGTTAACTCATATAAAGAGGATTCATCCAAGGTGTCTTCCATAATCATTCCTTTTTGCATAAGGAGGTAAAATATTCTTCATAGGAAGTAGGAAAATAATTTCTTTCATTTATTAATCCAATTAAAAATAATGAGTGCTAAACTAAAATTACCAACCAAAATACCAAAGATGAGCAAAACAAATGCCTGTGGAAATAAGGAAAGAGATAAAGAAAAATTAGAAGTATTTTTTAAAACCTTCGCCCTCTCTAATAATGTATATAGTTCAAAATATATTAACTTTTTTTGATGTAGGTAAAAGACTTAATTAAAAAATGACAAATTATTTCTTAAAATAAGATTCTTAAAAGAAACAAACAAAACCCAACCTACCCCCAACTTTTTCCATGAGAGAAAATCCTCTCTGCTCATTTTAAGATAAAACAGTCCTGGGAACACAAAAATCAAACACGTTGATGTACTGGAACCTTAAAGTGGGAAGAAGAAAAAAAGAATAATGCCAGATTCAGATGTGAGACTGGAAGACAATTTTACCTATTTTAGAAAACAGAATTTTTGAAACAGAAAACTTACCAACTATACCAAATACATTCCTAATGTCAGGAACATATATTGCCAGTAAAACAATGATAATATTGAGAGCTAGAGTGATCAAAGAATGGCGAATCCATGAGAATGGAAAATTGGAAAAAAACATCATCATTAAAGCTTTCCTTGCCTGTAAAACAGAAAAAGAAACAGATTTAAGCAAAGAGGAAGTGTCAAAGCCAAACTACTTGCTTAGGGAAACCCATGTATGGCACGGTTACTATGATATTCCAAACCATTTAGATGCCAAAAATACAGCCTAAACTGTACTGTATTTATTGCACATAAACTAAGAAATGTACCTATCTGTGTGAGCTTCATAAAAATTGTCTTGGTTTAATTCTTGAAAAAATCATCACATGCAATTTCTTGAGGTTGCATAATTTTCAAAATTACTAACCATAACACTGTGTGAAGAAATCCCAGGGTATCATTTTCATGAAGTTCAACACATAAAAGAACAAATGGCTCAAAACATAAACAAAAGTCATGCCATGGTAAAGAAATTCCATTTATTGTTTTATGTTATATTATTATTTCACAGCATGTAAATAAGAAAACTAGTCCATGATGTGTCCCACTGCCAAGGTGGGCAACAGGCGGTCACAGCCCAAAAACTCTCCAATCCCCACTGCACTCCTGGCACTGCGGTTCACACAGGAAGGAGGCAAAAATTGGGAAGGCTCAGGTCTTCAATAACTCACTGTTTAGGGATTCAAGATATTCGTGTAGAAGCATTTGTACCCAAAGCTTACGTTTCTATTTTCCCAGAAATTCTTAAGATTCTTACATATCGCAACTAATGCAGAATGAAGATCCATTCTGCCCCTTAACTATAATTCCAGAGCAAATAAAATTTGTGACTAAGATTAAACTAAATAAATTTCCAATAAACCAGAAGGAGCTTACTTTTGCTGACTTGACTTCTTCTTCTTCATACACATTCTTTTGAATACAGAATTAAAGGGGAAAAAAAAACCCCAAAACTTTAGAACAACTATAGTCTCTAAATTGGAAACAATGCTGTGGGAAAGCATAAATCTAAACTAAATCTGAAAAAGCACAAATTAGTTTAGTGGTTCACTGTTATTTTTGTGCTTTCATGGGGCCATATGCAAGTATGAGGTCTTTGATCAATTCCTTGACAAATGAATAAGATATACAAGACTAGATGTGATTCAAACATTCTAGTCTGTAAAGAATTAGTGTTGCCATATTAGGGAGCTGCAACACCGAGGAACAAAACCTTGAAGAGTACTTACAGGGAAGTGGATTAGAGGGACTGTCAAAAGCACAGAAAATAGTATGCATAACTTCACAGTCATGATGACAACATCATGTGGCAAGTATTTACTGTAACCTTGCAGTAATTCTGACGCCACATTGTCTGCAAATTAAAAAAAAATAAGGATCACATTATAAACTACTGAGATGTTAATAATAGCAATGTTATTTTCCTTTGCACAAATATATCTTAACAGATTTTGGATTCCTAGTACCAAATCCATCTCTGGCCTTTTTCCTATCCTACAAAACACAGACACATTAGTCAAACATCTTCTCGAAACTTGCTATCTTTTCTTTTAATGAAACTAGAAATTAGCCCAGGCAGACTCTGTAAAATTATGACAATGAATATATTTATTTTTTTTAAATCTCAAAAAAAAAATCTCTTTAGAATTTTTCCATAATCTGAAAGTTTTAAGCAACATCTATGTTATTTTGTAAAGTGCTTTCATGTGTACTACTGAATTTGGTCCCTATGATAACAATATAAGATAGTAGCTAATGGCAACCCACTCCAGTTTTCTTGCCTGGAGAATACCATGGACAGAGGAGCCTGGCAGGCTACAGTCCATGGGGTCGCAAGAGTTGCACATGACTTGGTGACTAAACCACCCGGTTAAAAATATTAACTGACTTGCCCAAAATGATACAAGACAAAGGGGGAGGACTGTACATCCAAATTTTTTGATGCCAAAGCCTTTCCTTAATGTCACGATGTTTTCTAGGACCTTATAGTCTCATGCATGTTACATGCTTCATCAACATTTCATCTATAGATCTGTGTTTCATAAAAGAGAATGCAGTGCTAAGGCAATGGCTCCCTCAGGAAGCTGGTGTGGTAGTCAGCAACAGAATCCGAACAAGCAGACCATGTTTGCTCCCTAGTGTTGCTTCTACCCTTATGTCTTCCTCGCCCCAAGCCAGACCAGGGCTGTGAAGAGTGAGTACTCAAGAGAAATTCGTATCACTGCCGCGTCGGGAAAGACGAGTTTCTACTTAAAATACAGTCGTGGTTTTTGTTTTTTAATGAGACCAAATGCTTTGGGAAAGCACTTTGGAGAAAGTTATAAAACAAATCAAACACAACTCTGTTTTCAAAGACTTTAAAATTTAAAGGGTGATAAGATGAAAGACACATACATACAATAGAAAGTGTATAAACATAGATACACACTTAAGTGGCAGAAGGTCTAAACAAAGAGCTATGCTGATTTTGAACAGGGAAAGATAATGATGGCTTTGGGATGAACATGAAAGAAATTCAGGAAAACCTGAAGAGAGTCATCCTGAGATAGTGAGCAGCAAGAGAGTAGAAGAGGGACTTGAATTCTGGGGTTGAACAGACCAAGATCCAAAATCTACTACATAGGAGCAACTTAACTGAGTTTCTCGGTATTTGTATCTGTAAAATGGGGACAATAATATGTTGACCTATGGGTTTACTAAGAGCATGACATTAATTAACCTATGTATGCTCACACTCAAAGATGTTGAGGGAGAAATTCTCTCTGGAAGCAAGAACCAGCACAAGCAGAAGCCACCAAGCAACAAAGGGAATTTGCACCTGAGAAAACATGCAGCCCAGGAGCACTAGAGAGGCTGAAAGACTGCACTATAGAGCCAACAGCGATGGGTGATAAGGCTGGACATGCATGAATGACCCAGCAACAGAACTATCTGTAGGGTCAGGACTCAATCTGGTAGGCTACAGAGATGCAATGGCTTCTGAAGACTTATGATTTAAACTAAGTAGGAAGACAGACTGGAAGAAAAAGAGATCCAAAACAGGACTAACAGAAGGCTACTGTCATAAGCACTGAGAAGTAACGAGAATCTGAACTAGATTAGTAACAATGGAAATGGGATAGAAACCAGTTGTGGAAAGAATCAAAGACATACTTGACATAATGTGGGACTAACGGACCAGGCAAGAAATTAAGGAGAGCCAGGAAAGCTGAATCCCAGTCCCAAATATGAGAGATACTTGTGAGTCTTTGGAGAAACATGGCAAACTATTTTATTTTCACTTTCTGAATCATAAAAAGAAGTTATTAACACTTATTGCTTAACAACTTTGTAGACTTTTTAAATGGTCTGGTTATTACACAACATTTGGGTATTGGCCTGCTCACCAGAGGAACATTTTATTCCTCACCTTATAATGCTTCAACATCTGTAATCAGAACTAATATCATTAATCTAGGTACATACTTATTGGTCCCTTTAACCTGACAAAATTTAGATATTAACTGAGCCTTGAGAACACTGAATAAAAGGACCCTAAGCAACTCCAGAAGTCTGAGGAGCTAGATTTATTACAAATTCAAAATACCTGTCATATATCTACTTTCCCGAGATAAAAGGCTTTTCCCTGAACCAGTCAGTTCTGTGTTCTTAGCTGAGCCTTAACATGTGTAAGGGATAGAGGACAGCACACTTCTCCGGATTCAGACAAATCTCTACAAATCTCAGGAAGGACCTAATGGTGATTTCTGCAAGATATATATTCTACTGAAGTCAGGTGGCTGTCCTGTTTAATATACACTGTCAAACAGGGGATGAAGTTTACAAAGATTACTGCAGAATAACTGAAAGATCACTGGACTAATATTCAGGAGACACAGGACACATGCCACTATTGTTGGACAGGTCACTCCACCCAGGCCTTAATTTGTGACAAGCCCTCTGATAACGGCTCAGGTTCTATCAGCAATTTCTTTCTGAAAGACTGAGAGCTACTGCTATTCCAACAGAAAAATACTGTAAAAGATTTTCAGTGCCAAAAAGAAAACACAGTGAACAGCAAACCAATTGCTGAATCTTCTTCTGTCTTTGGAGAAGGAATTACTTTTATATCACTTTTTCTTTCCTTCTATCACCTACCTACCAACCTACTATGTGATTTTTCTTAGATGTACAGTTCTAAAATGTGGATATTCTGAAGAATTTCCATCAGTGGAGAAGGGTTAAGTCAGAGACAACAACTTTTACTTGATAACCAAGAAAATCCCTGTGTAGGAAACATTTCATGTACATGATGAAAATATATAGTCTCTGTGTTCAAGCAAAGACAGATAAGTAGGTAGGCAGGTAGGTAGGTAGGTAGATAGAGATATACCTGGAACTTAAGTGAGCCAGGTTTTTCCAAAAGTTCACTCTGGGAATGATGGGAAATGGATTCTATGGCATAATTCCTGAGGAGGTACACAGAAATACCAGCATTGATTCTGGAGACAGTCAGAACTGGATTCAAATCCCAACTCATTCTTTTTTAACTGCAGGTACTAGCCAAGGTGCCCAACCTATTTGAACCCGTATCTTGCAGAGTTGTAAGGTATGAGTTAGGTAATGTATGTAAAAAACCTGGCTCTTACATAACAAATGTTACTTCAACAGATATATTAAAATCCATCCCCTCTCCACTTCCCCTTCAATCTAAGCTTTTGTACAATTTAACACAGCTCCTAACATCTCATGGTAATTTTTACATAACTACTTTTCGGCTATCCTGGAAATTGGTAGGCATTTGAGGTTTCCTCCAGATAGTTCTGCTTATCCATAGGGAATAAAAGGAGGCACATTTTTTGGACCTTTTTTCAATTTTGAAAATCCCTAACTAGAACATTCAGAAAACTAAGATCATGGCATCCAGTCCCATCACTTCATGGCAAATAGATGTGGAAACAGTGTCAGACTTTATTTTCGGGGGCTCTAAAATCACTGCAGATGGTGACTGCAGCCATGAAATTTTAAAGACGCCTACTCCTTGGAAGAAAAGTCATGACCAACTTAGACAACATATTAAAAAGCAGAGACATTACTTAGTCCACAAAGGTCCATCTAGTTAAGGCTACCGTTTTTCCAGTGGTCATATATGGATATGAGAGTTGGACTGTAAAGAAAGCTGAGCGCTGAAGAATTGATGCTTTTGAACTGTGGTGTTGGAGAAAACTCTTGAGAGTCCCTTGGACTGCAAGGAGATCCAATCAGTCCATCCTAAAGGAGATCAGTCCTGGGTGTTCATTGGAAGGACGGACGTTGAAGCTGAAACTCCAATATTTTGGCCACCTGATGTGAAGAGTTGACTCATCAGGAAAAGACCCTGATGCTGGGAGGGATTGGGGGCAGGAGGAGAAGGGGACAACAGAGGACGAGATGGTTGGATGGCATCACCGACTTGATAGACATGGGTTTGGGTGGACTCCAGCAGTTGGTGATGGACAGGGAGCCTGGTGTGCTGTGTGGTTCATGGGGTTGCAAAGAGTCGGACACAATTGAGCGACTGAACTGAACTGAACTAGAACAGTATTTGTGCCAGGTGACAATTTCAATTTATAAAAACATACAGCCATTCTACAAAGTTTTTGCTGAATTCCCAACAAAGATCCTGCTGGAGTATCTCATTGCTACAGAAAGGTCTTACTGTGCTCTTGCTGTACAAAGACAAACCTAACAACCAAAAATAGTTCATGTATTTAAAAAATGCTGTTTCCCTAAAAATGATCAAAAAACATTTAACAATTTGCCTTAGAAATTTTCCCTGTAGTGTATCCATGCTCATGTTGGAAGTAGGAAGTATGCTCTTCCTGATGGTGTGCAGAGCTCTACCACTCTTAGCCGACATAGTACTAAAGTGCAAGAGCAGATTTCGATTCATCGGCTGCTTTTATTACTGTTGAAATGATGTAGAGTTAGCCAGAAAAGGACTATAGAGAGCAATTTTAACTTTCTCACACACTGAAAACTCCAAGATAATACACTAATAATAATAATATACAGAAGTTATCATATTTAAATTAGACTTTATTAATGAGAGTAAGGAGAGAAGTATAGTGCTGAAAAAAGAGCACCTGAAATTATGAAATAATTGCAATGATGATGAAAACAATACTCATAATGCAGCACCAGCAGGAGCTCTCCTATGTAGAAGACCGCTGTATCCCACATACTGTAATAGGCATTTTATATACAACTCATTTCCTCTTCAATACAACTCTATACAATTATCCCTGTGTTTACAGACGATGAGATGAAGATAGTGTAAGGTGAAGTACCCTGTTCAAGGTCACATAGCTAGTTAGAGCAAAGTGGTTTTTTGAACCATATTTGTTGGGTTTCAAAATCCAGACCCTTTCCACTGGGCTTAGGAAAGGTGGCTATGCAAGTAAATGTTCAAAAACTTGTCAGAGCTGAAAAATATCTGAGAGGTAGGCAAAACCATTACAATTCACTGTGAATGTCTAAAACCTGAAACACACATACACAAAGGCCACTCACCATGAAATCAGTGTCAAAACAGCTAAATGTCACAAGAATAATAGTAGCCATCTATCTAGAGTGTTGTTATAAGAACATTCATAAACTGAAAAGTGCATTCAAGAATTTGACAAATTGAGTGTAATTTGTTATGTGTTTGTTTACAAATTAAACAAGTGTGTTTGCAAATTAAACAAGAGAGCTTACAAGTTTTTCTCTTGTTTGAGACTTTTAAGTTTTTCTTGAGGTTCTTATCAGAAGAGAGAAAAACACACTACGCATGTAACTTTTCAAAAATAAAAGAAAATTTCAGTTTTATGAGTTTAGAAGAATCTTTTAAGAATTTAGGGAGAAAGGTCATGGCAAAGCACAGAATACACACCACAGAACTATGTGAATTAAGTCTGAAGGCAGAGGTCTCTGACCCAAGTGTACAACTACAGTCCGGTATGAAACTTTCCTTCCTTGATTTGTTCTTTTGCCATTAAGATGACTGATTCTCTCAATCTCCCAAACTGCTGAACTAGAGTCTAATATATTGAAATCTCAATTAAAAAAAATAAAATCATTATTGTACTTTTTTTTTCCCTCATAGAAAGACTTCAATGTTTCTCAGCCCAATATTTTATTTTTAGGTGTTTAAGAAAATTTTCATATGAAGTTATCAATCTTGAACTTGATCCACTCTTTTAAAAGAAAGAAAATTAAGACATGTAGAGCTACCACAGTAGTGCACTGAATTCTGGCAGCCTGAACAAATTAACTTGCTAATGAAAGGCAGAAACAAAGTCCACATTCAGGTGTGAGATCAACTACAGAATAACTTATATTGTCATCTATAATGAAACAATATACTTACCATAAAAAGTGAGGTACCCAAAGAGTGCAGATACAAAATAAATGAGAAAACTTAAAGCAATTGCTGTATTGGTTACATTCTGCATCCTTTTCTTAGAAGGGCTAAAAGACAAAAATGGCAAAATCAAAATCAGAGAGAGACGCAGGTTTGATCCCTAGATTGGGAAGACCCCCTGGAGGGGGGCACGCAACCCACTTGAGTATTCTTGACTAGAGAATCCCAAGGACAGAGAAGCCTGGCAGGCTATAGTCAATCCATAGGGTCACAAAGAGTTGGACACAACTGAAGCGACTAGACACCATCTGAATTAATCTAAATAAATAGATATAAGGATTCCTTAATCACTCAAGCCCTGGTTCATTAATAACTACACAACAGAATTCCTGAATTTAAACTACTGTGCAAAGGATTATGCTTCCAAGAAATATTCTCAACTTAGAACACACACCTAGAATTAAGTGATAGGAGGGAAGGATTCATGGAGGCGAATATCATTCAGTCTGAAAGTCCTAGAAGTCAAAAGAAATACTGAATACATTTGATATATTCCAGGATTCTATAGTACCTTTGAAGTTCACAGTATATGGGCAGTATTGAGGTGTGGCATAGAAATGAAAAAGCCATGGTTGGTATGGCATAAGCACTCTGAAAAAAAAAAATTAAGATGAAATTACTAAATTGTACTCTGTTGAAACTACTATTTCATTTGACAATAAACTCAGTTTTTTAAAAAAATAAATTTAGCTAAATTTATTTCATTTTTCGTGAATCATCTGTTTATAAAACATGTTGTTGTTGTTATTGTTAAATGAGACACACAATTATGGTTGCCAGCAAGTACTCACTTGATAGGTGGACTGTCTGCACTAGCTGAAATATTTCTTGGCTGCTTCTATACCATGTTGTTTTTACTACAATCATTACTGCTTCTATATTATTTTGGTAAGATAAAAATAATTTAGGTAAGATAAATAACATTTAGGTAAAATCAAATATAATAACATTTTAGAAATTATCTTATAATTCTGAGTCTTTCCTAATGTAAGTATTAGGAATCTTAAATATATCTTACTACCCTAAGCAGCACTAATACTTAATGCTTTTGAATGAGCTTTCACCAAGTCAACATAAGTACCCACTTATTCTAAGAGAATACTGAACGTACTAATACATTGTAGCATCTTTAGGGTCTCTTTCAATGGGATTGAACATGATTTATTCTAGACCAACAAATTCTTGGTGATCCACTGGAATATATGATCACAAGTTGTTGCTGTTTTTTAATTTAGAATAATTAAGAACCAGAGAAAGTTACAAAGCAAACAAATGTTACCTTCTAAATGAAAATACTGTCTTTACAAGTGGATGGTAATGATTTACTTCTCTTTTCTACTCCAAAAAATTTCTCCTTAACTAATTTAAGGCTCTTTAGCACAAGAAGTTCCAAATGACTGAAGACCTATCTTCAGACACAAGACCTCCTCCTAAAATATCTGAAGAGAGCTGGGAGGAAGGAAAGCTGGAATATTTCCCAAGGCTAAATTAAGGGAATGAGTGTTCAATTCATAAACTTTCTTTCATATATTTCTCAGTTTCCTGACTTGTTAATTACCCTACCTAAATCTTTAAGGCACATGGAAGCCATTACTATGCAAAAGATGTGGTAACCTCCCTTGTGGGGCCAGACAGACATTTCTCATTTTAAAACTAGGGAATAAGGGAGTTCCCTGATGGCCTAGTGGTTGGGATTCTGGGCTTTTACTGCCATAGCCTGGGTTCAATCCACGGTCAGGGAACTGAGATCCCGCAACCACGAAGCACAGCCCGCACCACCACCCCCCCAGCAAAAAACAAAAAACCTGGGGAATAAAAAGGAGAATTTTGCATGGAGGAGTTATCACACTAAAATGCTATACTAATAGAGTTGTACATGAGTGGAGGGTATTCTAGCATCTGGGACCTCCACTTTAGAGAATCAAAAACTGTACATGAAGAAGCCTACAGCAACAAGGAAGACACGGAGCTCTTCCAGAATGGTTTCCTGTCCCCTCTGCTGATGCTCGGAGGCTCTTGCAGGCATTTCCAGTATCTTTGGGCTCTTGGAGAAGGCACAGGGACTTGGTCTTTCAGCTTCTGCTATAGGCATCATAAATTTCAACTTTGGAATGTCAGCCAGAAGACATATTGTCAGTGCTCAATTGCTGGTCCAACCATGAGGCTGTTTAGCCACAGACCAAGGTTCTACTCACAGGGGAGGAGTTTTTGGTATAATTGGCTATTTAGCTTTACAAGTCCAGAGGGCAACAGGAAGTCTGTATCCACAGAGGACCTTATTGGCCAGACCAGACATTCGGTAAATCTGTTCTTTTAGGCAGTGACCCATTTAAAACAGGCTCCATTTAAAGGCATGCCAAAAAAAAAAAAAAAGGTGGCTGTTTCATAATGGGCCACCCTGTGTTAAATAATATTATTCTTCTGGTAAGCAACCCTATACTTAGCACTTTCATGAAAATTAATTAGTTACAGGTACAAAGACCTAAGAGACCCTGTTACACAAATCTCTTAAAACTTGAAATGTGAAAAATCAACCGAAAGTATCTGTTAATAACTTACACACCTCTTTGGAGAAATGAAAGAGCTTTGGTTTACAATCATCTGTAGCATTTGAAATCTGTTTAAGAGGATTGAGGGGAAAGAGAGAAACCAACAGTCATTAAAAGTTAGAACACTTCAGGAAAAAAAAAGAGAGAGAGATGAATTTACTATTACTGGGCTTTCAAATAAAAATATTTCAAAACAAAGTTCCAAAATGCAATATAGCCATACTTTTTTTTATTAATCAGGAAAAAAACATTATTAGTCAAAAAATTTTAGCTTAAAATAAAACAAAAAGTGAGAAACAAACTATTACCTGGAAATACTGTTCTACATAATTAAATGTCAGAGGACAAGGGATGGACCATTTTTTAATTATTACCTGTAAAAATAAGTAGAATCAGATTATTTCTTACAAATCTCATGACAAGAAACTGATTTCAAATAGGTCAGCATTTTTTTCAATTAATCTAACACTATAACAAATAATATGCAAACAGAAGATATTTTATTTATGGGACTTTCCCTGGTTAGAATGGGGTCATCATTTGACATGTGCCCTATAGTGGGGACGGTGGGGGTGCTATGTATCTATTAAGTGGAGATCTCCCCCACTGAACACTGAGAATACTCTCATGTCAGCTTTCAAAACTCCAATAGTATCAAGGCATTAAAAGAAATGCAACTCAGAATGGGAACAAGATGTTCCCCTATACGGCTATTTGTGGACCTGGCATCAGTGGCAGATAGAGAAATATTAATAGCAGTTTTAGAAATGACCACAGGCAGATGCAAAGGGGGAGGGATGGCTGATGTATGAGCACTGTTTTTCCTTGTTGTACTCAGACTTACATTATTTTGTTGCATGTGGATGAATCTGGCAAAGATAAGAGCACAAAGCTAAGGAACTAGAGACGATAAAATGAATTTTTTTTAAAAATTAAAAGAAATCCAGAAGAATGCTACTTCCCAGAAACAATCAGTGAAAATGGTTAGGATTTTACTCTTAACTGTGGGCATCCTGTTCCTAGACCTACAGTTGAGTTGTGCCAGCATCACCATTGCTGTAGTTGTTTCAGGGCACATAATTATTCTGTAAATACTTGCTCTGGGCTGAAACCCAGCAAACAAAAGGGCAAGGGGGAATAAAGGAAGCATCTGTCCTTTGTAAGAGACAAGTAAGTAAACACTATTCCTACTTGGTATCTATCTAGTTTTGGATTTTAACTAATTCAGTCAAAATTGTATATAGTGATAAACTGAAAAAAAATATACTTTCAGGATTAAGTTAATGAGTGAACAGAAAAATTACTCTTATTTAAAACTCACCAGGGGGAAAAAAAAGAACTATAATGATAAATTGAGCAGGTTGCTTTGACATTTCTAGGTAAGCTTTTAATATGAAATAAAACTAAATAGACAATTTATTAGGAGGAAAAAAAATCAAAAGCAATAATTTCACCATTTTTTTTCTGATGTGTTTCCCCAAAACAGGTGAGGATGGGGTGGGGTAGAAGGTTGTTGCTAGTCTCTCTCTTCAGCCCTGCTCCAAACTCAGTATCTCCCATTTCCTCCTCACTACTAGTGGAGGCAGTAGAGACAACCATTTACTGATCATGTACCAGATACATTGATAAAGGTCAGTATGGTGTGAGCCACCTCATTTTATCAGCTGTTGTCACCAGACTTGCAAATCCAAATACTTAAAAACAATGCTCCAAAATGTAATGTTATGATTATTTTTTGTTAATAAGAAAATATCGCTTCTCAGTCTTCTGGCTGAGATCAAGTGTAGAAAATATCATTAGCAGCCTGAATTTATATTAACATAAAATTCAGTTACTAGAGCTTATTTCTCTGCAGAGACCCACCTCAAGCCCAAGCCTGTGGGAGAGAGAACTGATGTCCTAGAAAGAGAAGTACGGAACAGGCATGGAAGATACCCCATAACAAAGGGTAACAGGAGGTCCTTGCTCAGGCTGAAGGCAGAACACAGGAAGAAGATCAACCCGGGGTGAGAAAGAAAGACAAAGAGAAAAAAGATTAAGCATCAAAAACACTTGTTCACTTGCACAGAAGGCCTTTCCTTCTTCTCTCTGCTCCAAGTCCTTCCCATCTTTCAAGGCTCAGCTCAAATTTTATTCCCTCCACATCCTTCTTTATTCTAGCTGTTGGTGATCATTCTCTCTTCTCAACTCTTAGAATTCCTATTCTGAAGCAGATATATCAACATTTAACTATGTATTAACTATGTTATTCTCTTTTTTCTAATAAATTTACCTTATTTCCCCAACTAGATGGACATATTCTTATGAGTAGTATCCTAGTTAAACTACCACAACTCTGATGACTAACATAGTGCATGGAAGAAGGAAGCCAAATCTAACCAAAATCCAATCAGATGGCTCTCTATTTTCACTATTGATTTATTAAAATGCTAGTTTTAATATTAGTATTAGAACACTAATCTGTTATTATTCTGTCTCAAGACAGAACTTTTAGAAACAATGTAAATTAGTGTTCAAAAACGAAGCAAAAAAGATGTCATCATGCTGAGCCACTGTTACAACAAACTTTATTTTTAAAATTTTAGATATTTCAGCTGGAGCAAAAATTTATGTCAAAAATTTTTAAGCAAAGTAAATATCTGGGCTTCCGTAGTGGCTCAGACAGTAAAGAAACTGCCTGCAATGCAGGAGACCTGGGTTTGATCCCTGGGTTGGGAAGATGAATGGCTACTCATTCCAGTATTCCTGCCTGGAGAATTTCATGGATAGAGGAGTCCGGCGGGCTACAGTCCCCAGGGTAGTAAAGAGTTGTACAGCACTGACTAAACTTTCATTTTTTTTTCAAGGATGTGGGACAATAGATGAGACTGTAGGTTTTGATTTGCATTGTTGGGGAGCATAATTTAAGCAAATAATAGTTTTATGGGCCAATTTTTAAAAATTTAATAATAAATGCTACACAGATTTACAAACACATATTGATACTTTCTTGGCCTCCAAAATCACTGCAGATGGTGACTGCAGCCATGAAATTAAAAGATGCTTGCTCCTTGGAAGACAAGCTCTGATGAACCTAGGCAGCATATTAAAAAGCAAAGACAAAAAATAAATAAATAAATAAAAAGCAAAGACATTAGTGACAAAGGTCAATATAGTCAAAGGTATGGTTTTCCCAGCAGTCACGTATGGATGTGAGAGTTGGACCATAAAGAAAGCTGAGGGCTAAAGAATTGATGCTTTTGAACTGTGGTGTTGGCAAAGACTCTTGAGAGTTCCTTGGACTGCAAGGAGATCAAGCCAGTCAATCCTAAAGGAAATCAGTCCTGAATATTCATTGGAAGGATTGATGCTGAAGCTCCAATACTTTGGCCCCCAATGCAAAGAACTGACTCATTGGAAAAGACCTTGATGCTGGGAAAGACTGAAGGCAGAAGGGGATGACAGAGGATGAGATGGTTGGATGGCATCACCGACTCAACGGACATGAGTTTGAGCAAGCTCTTTGAGTTGGTGATGGACGGGGAGGCCTGGCATGCTGCAGTCCATGGGGTCGCAAAGAGTCGGACATGACTGAGTGACTAATCTGAACTGATTGATAAAAATGGGGCTTCCCTGGTAGCTCAGGTGGTAAAGAATCTGCCTGCAATACAGGAAACCCTGGTTCGATTTCTGGGTGGGGAAGATCCCCTGGAGAAGGGATAGGCTACCCACTCCAGGATTCTTGGGCTTCCCTGGTGGCTCAGATGGTAAAGAACCCGCCTGAAAAGCAGGAAACCTGGGTTCGATCCCTGTGTTGGGAAGATCCCCTGGAGAAAGGCATGGCAACCCACTCCAGTATTCCTGCCTGGAGAATGCCCATGAGCAGAAAAGCCTAGCAGGCTTCTCTGGGGTTGCAACAGTCAGACATGACTGAGCAACTAAGCCCAGCATGGTTGGGCTTAAAATAAATTAAGTAATTTAAATAACTAATGAAAAAAGGTGCAATGGAAAAAATAATAATCCTAATATTATTAGGATTAATATTAATGTCATTTAATATTAATATTATTATATAATAACATATAATATTAATAATATTAAAATAATAATAAAAATTGGAGTCCCTCAAAAAATTGGCATTAATATATACATGTTTCCTTTCCTTAACCACTATGTATTTTAAAACTAACACTTAAAAGAGTCTATAATAAAGTCAAGCATATGTCATTTGATTGTGCTTTAGTTTACTGAACTTCACAAATACTGTGTTTCTTCATGGATTGAAGGTTCGTGGCAACCCTGTGTCAAGCAAGGCTATTGGCACCATTTTTCCAAGAGCACTTGCTCACATCATGTCTGTGTCACATTTTGATAATTCTCACAATATTTCAAACTTTTTCATTATAATCATATTTGTGATAGTGATAAGTGATCTGTGCACAGTGATCTTTCATGTAACTATTGTAATTGTTTGGGGGTACCCTGAACTATGCACATGTAAGATGGCAAACAATCCATAAATGTTGTGTATGTTCTGACTGCTCCATTGACTGGCAGTTCCCATCTCTCTCCCTCTCCTTGGGTCTCCCTATTCTCCGAGACACAAAAATATTGAAATTAGGCCAAGTTATAAGCCTACAATGGCCTCTATTTAAGTGAAAGGAAAGGTTGCACATCCCTCACTTTAAATCAAAAGCTAGAAATGATTACGCACAATGAGGAAGGCAAATGCAGAACTGAGATAGGTTGAAAGCACTCTTATACCAAACTGTTAGCCAAGGAGTGGATGCAAAGAAAGTTTCTGAAGGAAATGAAAAGTGTTACTCCAGTGACTACACGAATGATTAAAAAAAAAAAAGTGAAACAGTCTTATTGCTGATCTGGAGAAAGTTTTAATGATCTGGATAGAGATCAAACCGGCCACATTTCCTTAAGTCAAAGCCAAGTCCAGAGCAAGGGCCCCAACTCTCTTCAGTTCTATGAACGGAGAGAAGTGAGGAAGCTGCAGAAGAAAAGTCTGAAGAAAGTAGAGGCTGGTTCATGAAGTTTAAGGAAAGAAGCCATCTCCATGATATAGAAGTGCAAAGTGAAGCAACAAGTGCTGATGTAGAAGCTGCAGCAAGTTATCCAGAAGTTCTAGCTAAGGTCACTAATGAAGGTGATTACACTAAACAATAGATTTTCAGTGTAGACCAAAGAGCCTTCTGTGGGAGGAAGATGCGATCTAGGACTTTCATAGTTGGAGAGAAGTCCACGCTTGGTTTCAAAGCTTCAAAGGACAGGCTCTCTTGTTAGGGGTTAATGCAGCTGGTGATTTTAAGTTGAACAGCACAATGGCATTTTACCATTTCACAAAACCTAGGGCCCTTAGGAATCATGCTAAATCTATGCTCTGCCTGTGCTCTACAGATGGAACAACAAAGCCTGGATGACAATACATCTGTTTATTATTTTAATCCCATTGTTGAGACCTATTGCTCAGAAAAAAAGACCCCTTTCAAAATACTACTGCCCACTGACAATGAACCTGGTCGCCCAGGGCGCTGATGGAGACGTGCAACAAGGTTCATGTTGTTTTCGTGCCAGCTAACATAACATCCATTTTGCAGCCATAACTTCAGGAGTAATATTGACTTGCAAGTCTCATTCTTTAAGAAACAATTTCATGAGGCTGTAGGTGCCAGAGATGTGATTCCTCTGATGGATCTGAGCAAAGTAAAGTGAAGCTCTTCTGGAAAGGATTCACCGTTCTAGATGAAATCAAAATATCTGTGATTCACAGGAAGAGGTCAAAATATCAACATTAACAGAAGTTTGGAAGAAGCTGATTCCAACCTTCATGGATGACTCTGATTTCAGCAGAGGAAGTCACTACAGACATGGTGAAAAGAGCAAAAGAACTAGAATTAGAAGTGGAGCCTGAATATGTGACTGAATTGCTGTAATCTCACAACACAACTGAATGGATTCAGAGTGCTTTTTATGGATGAGAAAAGAAAGTGGTTTCTTGAGATGGAATCTACTGGTGAAGATGTTATGAAGATTGCTGAAATGAATACAAAGGATTTAGAATATTACATAAACTTAATTGAAAAAGCTATGGCAGAATTTGAAAGGACTGACTACAATTTTGAAAGAAGTTCTACTGTGGGTAAAATGCTATCAAACACAAAAATCATTGCAAGCTACAGAGAAATCATTTATGAAAACAAGAGTCAATGTATGCACCAAACTTCATTGTTATTTTAAGTAATTGCCACAGCTTCTCCAACCTTCAGCAATCACCACCCTGATCAAGGGAAGACTTTTCACTAGCTAAAACAGATTACAACTTGCTGAAGACTCAGGTGACAGTGCTTTTTAGTAATATTTTTTTCTTTTCCATTAGGTTATTGCAAGATATTGAATATAGTTCCCTGTGCTATACAGTAGGTCCTTGTCATTTATCGATTTTATATACAGCAGTGTGTATATGCTAATCCCAAACTCATAATTTATCCCCACCTTCTCTCCCTTTTGGTAATCCTAAATTTGATTTCTGTATCTGTGAGTCTGTTTCTGTTTTGTAAATAAGTTCATGTGTATCATTTTTTTAGATTTTACATGTAAGTGACAGCATACGATCCTTGTCTTTTTCTTTCTGACTTACTTCACTTAGTGTGATAATCTCTAGATTCATCCATGTTGGGGTGAATGGCATTGTTTCATTCCTTTTTAAGGCTGAGTGCTTAAAACATCTACTTCTGCTTTATTGACTATGCCAAAGTCTTTGACTGTGTGGATCACAACAAACTGTGGGAAATTCTGAAAGAGATGGGAATACCAGACCACCTGACCTGTCTCCTGAGAAATCTGTACGTAGGCCAAGAAGCAACAGTTAGAACTGGACATAGAACAACAGACTGGTTCCAAATCGGGAAAGGAGTACATCAAGGCTGTAAATTGTCAGCCTGCTTATTTAACTTACATGCAGAGTATAACATGAGAAATGCTAGGCTGGATGAAGCACAAGCTGTAATCAAAATTGCTGGGAGAAATATCAATAACCTCAGATACGCAGATGACACCACCCTTATGGCAGAAAGCAAAGAAGAACTAAAGAGACTCTTGATGAAAGTGAAAGAGGAGAGTGAAAAAGTTGGCTTAAAACTCAACATTCAGAAAACTAAGATCATGGCATCTGGTCCCATCACTTCATGGCAAATAGATGGGGAAACAATGGAAACAGTGACAGACTTTATTTTCTTGGGCCCCCAAATCACTGCAGATGGTGACTGCAGCCATGAAATTAAAAGACGCTTGCTCCTTGGAAGAAAAGCTATGACCAACCTAGACAGCGTATTACAAAGGAGAGACATTACTTTGCTAACAAAGGTCCATTGAGTCAAAGCTATGGTTTTTCCAGTAGTCATGTATGGATGTGAGAGTTGGACTATAAAAGAAAGCTGAGTGCCAAAGAATTGATGCTTCTGAACTGTGGTGTTGGAGAAAACTCTTGAGAGTCCCTTGGACTGCAAAGAGATCCAACCAGTCAATCCTAAAGGAGATCAGTCCTGAATATTCTTTGGAAGGATTGATCTTAAAACTCCAATACTTTGGCCACCTGATGCGAAGAATGGACTCATTGGAAAAGACCCTGAAGCTGGGAAAAATTGAAGGCGGGAGGAGAAGGGGACAACAGAAGATGAGATGGTTGGATGGCATCACTGACTCAATGCACATGAGTTTGAGTAAGCTCTGGGAGTTGGTGATGGACAGGGAAGGCTGGCATGCTGCAGTCCATAGGGTCACAAGGAATCAGACACAACTGAGTGACTTAACAGACTGACTAAGGCTGAGTAAGCAATAAATTATTTTTAAATTAATGTATGTATATTGTTTTCTTAGACATAATGCTACTGTACATTTAATAGACTACAGTACAGTGTAAACATAACTTCTGTACAAACTCAGAAATGATGTGTTTGACTAGGTTTATTGCAATGGTCCAGAACTGAACCTGCAATATCTCTGAGGTATGCCTACATGCCAATTAAAAGAGAATTAAGAAGGAAGGATATAGCATGTCTTCACAGCCTCATAGTAGACCAAATTTAAATTGTGCTCAAAGGTAAAAATCTCAGCAGATGGTTTGTAAAGTAGGATAATAAATGCAGGATAAGGGTATTATTTCCATATGACAGCTATAGGAGAAATCTGCATCGAATTAAAGAGTATCTGCCATGACAGAAATGAATACTGTGAAAACTACAATAGATGTGTCGTATCAATATATTTTACCTGCTTCAAACTGCTGGCTATAAAAACCAAATTACTCCTACCTATGCAACACTGTGTGGTCAATTATCTGTGAAGAAAATATTCAATGTTATGTGTACTGATTCTCCTTAATATCTATATGCTCATTTGCAAATACAGGCCACTCTTAACCACATAGATGCTTTTCAACAATCAAATTACGATGGAAATATTTTTTGCTCCCCTCTTAATGTGATGCCTAAGAAGGGTGCCTATGGATGTTAAGTAAACACTGTAGTAATCATTTCAGAATAAGTAAGTTAAGTCATCATGATGCACACCTTAAGCTTACACAGCACTGTATGTCAATTATATCTCAATAAGACAGAAAGAAAAGATCTTTTAAATAATTGTATGTTCAATTCACTTATAAGATACAAGTCAGACAATTTGTGGAGGGAGGGCAATGATTATAATGTTGGTAAATTCAACAAACAGTTAAATGGAAACTCCGTCAAGTATTTTTAGTTTTAAGAGCATTCATTAAATAAATATTCCCATATACTGAAACCAGGGTCACTTTCACTTCATTTAAATAATCTAAAGTTATTTTATCCTTGTATCCCAGAAGATAGTTTAGCCTAAGTTATATGCACCCTAGATTGTTTTGACAGCTTGGAAATCTGGTTCTATCATATGGTTTAACTAATGATGTGTTGTCTTGCTCTTTTGGATGGCATGTTTCTTTCATTCATTTCTCAATAACACAGGAGAGTTTAAATAAGCTTATGATTTTAAGAGTTTAATCAAGCCATTTAGGCATGTATTTTGGAAAGTTTAAAATGTTAAATCCTACTTAAGGTTGGACAGATACTGACTGTGGAATAAGCTGCTGAGCAAAAAGAAAAAGGATCTTCCCCCCAGAATTTCACACAAAGATATAGTCTTTGGAATATTAAAATATGTTTTAGAAGAATTAAAAGGAAATCAGAAATTTAAATTCTTATATCTTCATATTAAATTATTTTATAAATAAGTTTACCATCTGAGAGATATTTTTCCTATAATTAAAATGAGCTAATTTTAAAAACTATTCCACGTGTGAAAAACAGTATTTCTGTGCAGTCAGCTTCATGAGAGCTTAACCAATGCTTAATAAATCAGATGGGAGAGAATTCGGGCACTCCAATTCTTACTAGATCTCTTCAGTGGGTAAACCCCTGAAGCTCTGGTTTCATTAATGGAAAACTAAGTTTTAAAATTAAGATGATTAGGATTCAGATTGATTTTACAGCTTAGAACCAGCCTGATTCTTATGCTTGAGAACCCCCAAAACATACACATACATACACAATCTTGTACAGAAATAAATGAATACTTAGACTTACTCAAAGAATTATACTCCAAGATTTTAACAGAACTGGTGTGCTCTTCTCTCTAGTTAACCACAAGGGAAACTGAACCTGAAATGCTGTCCTTGCTAAGCTTCTTCAAAACAGATACTATGAAGGAAGCAGTTTTGCAGAATAAAAGTGCTTTTAATAACACATTGAAATAAAATGGGATGCCTTTTCAATAAAAAACAGAGTAAAGAGAAAAAAAAGACATTAACACAATGATTTCAATTTTAGTGAGGAGATAAGTAATATAGTATATTTTAAACTTACCACAAGAGCAAAGAACACCATAAAGAAAAATGATAAACTACTTGTGTAGCCAAGAAAGCCTGTAAAATAACAGTAAAATAAAAAGCAATTTATAAGGAAAGTGATCCCAACATGCAGCTAAAGCTATACATCTTGGGCATGTTTTTTATTATATTGCTTGGTATCTGGGGCTTAGGGCTGAGAATAACAACATTCCAACTATCTGTCACAGATCGTTTATGTAGCTCTGTATGGCAGAATTGGAACTGGCTTACCACTAATGGCGCACTGTAAGGAAAGGCTGCTCTTTAATGTTCTGCTGGAAAGATTTTATTTTAGTGGGGCAGACAAAACACCACTGCAAACCAACTAACAGGTTAACTAGGCAGGGCTGAAGGCTGAAGAACCCGAAATAAATCCAAGTTCAAAATTATTCACAATCACCTTCTGATAAAACTGTGGAACTGTGAAATTTAAAAGCCCCTTAACATTATTTTTTTTCTCTTTTCTTATAAACAAATAACATCCTCTTCTATAAAAACTTACCTATTTTAGGAAGAAGTGCAAGAGGGAACACAATGCCAACACAAATGATTATTAGTAGTGTGTCTCCATCAAGATACCAAGACCTATAGGGGAAAAAGTTCTACTTTAGGTACAGAGCAACTAAAACCACCTCGACATATTTTATATAAAATAATATATTGAATATATCATAAATATATTTAATATGATAACAAGTTTGAGGGAAAATAAAGGTTCACTAAAAATGGAAAGGAACTATATTTATAGCCATTATATCTGCATGGATAATTTTTCTTCTTATACAGTGATTTTACATACTTTTAAATTTTTCAGGAAAGGGCATGAATTACTAGGAGAAAACATATTTTTCATATAAAGGTAATAGAATACTGAATGAGAAAAGGCAGGTAAATGTGTGATGGTGTATTTGATTATTTTTAAAAAATGGATGCACAGTTTTTAAAAAGTCAGAAAGATATACTTAAAATACCAAAAGCAGATATTTCTATGTAGCAGCACTGAGAAATCTTTATTTTGTGTATTGGTGGCATATACATGGATTTAAAGTTTCAATATAAAAATACATATGTTGAAGTTTTTAAAAATCAGACTTAATTCCCTAAGAATTTAATAGTAAAGACTTCTCTTTGGTATATAAAAATTAAGCAATTCATAAAAGAAGTGCAACTAGTAAATATACATGAAGAAAAATCCAATCTCTGATGTTGATTAAAGAAATAAGTAATAAGGCTATTGAGATTGAGTAAAAATATTTAAAAATTAATATTCAAGGATGTGAATAATTGGTCCTTCACACCTTGTTAGTGATCTTGTCAATTAGCACTATCTTTTAGAAAAATACTGATAATGTAAGGTAATCTACTCTGAGAGAATAATCTAAGATATAAAGAATTCTATGTGCATGAAGCTGTGAGTATAATGTTATTATAATATTAAAAAGTTGAGGGAAAATCTTATATAACAATAGAAAATGTTTGTCAAAAACAGCATACTCAATGGAATGTTAAACAATTTTTATTTTTTGTTAAAAGACAGTTTACTAAAACAGAAAATACTAATGATAAAAATACAAAATAATGATTATTAACTATGTTTTAAAAATGTTTTGGGGGAAAAATTCAAAGGAAATAAAATGATAGCAGGGATTAGGTAAGAGATGGTATTATGTATAATTTTTATTTGCTTTGTCTTCTAAATTTTCTGTAAAGAAGCTATCATTTTTACTCTGAGATATATGCATGTGCACATGCAAAATGTTAACAAAATAAAATTCACGCTAATATGAGAGCTGGGAGCATCAAAGGTAACAGGTATTACTTTTTCAAGTCCTTTGCTAGATGTTCTCTGAATTTCTAGTTGACTATAATGTATTCTTTCACTACCAGATAGCCAAAGTCTCCCACTGCCATGTTAAATTAAGAAAATGGACAAATTCCTAGAAACATACAGTGTACCAAGACTGAATCATAAAGAACTAAAAAATAAAAACAGACTAATAATGAGTAAGATCACTGCACCAGTAATAAAAAAACCTACTAAAAAAGAAAAGCCCAGGATCAGATGGTTTCACGGGCAAATTCCACCAAACATTTAAAGAAAACTAGTGCCAGTGTTTCTCAAACTCTTCCCAAAAACTGGACAGGACAGAACAGTTCCAAACTCATTTTATAAAGTCAGCATGCCCTACTATCAAAGCCACAAAAGAATATTACAAAAAACAAAACTTACAGAATATCCTGGCGAATATACTATAAAAATTCTCAACAAAATATTAGTAAACCAAATCCAATAGCACATTAAAAGTATCATATATTATGATCAACTGGGATTTATCCATAGGATGCAAGGATGGATCAACATATGAAACTCAGTCAACATGATATAGCACATTAACAGAATGAAAAATAAAAAACACATGGTCAAATATGTCAAGACATATAATAAAAATGTTAAAAAATGTTTTATAAAAATATGTTGAAAACATATGATTAAAAAAACAGATGCCAAAAAAGCATGTGACAAAACACAACGTTCATTTATGATTAAAAAAAAAACTTCAACAAATTTAGTAGAGAGGGAACAAATCTCAACATAAGGGCCATGTATAACAAGCTCACAGCTAATATCATACTCAACAGTGAAAGGCTTAAAGTTTTTCCTCTAAGGCCAGGAATGAGACAAGAATGCCTACCCTCACCATTCTTATTCAACATAGTACTGGAAGTCCTAGCTAAAACAATGAGGCAAAATAAAGAAATAAGTGGCATCCAAATTGGATAAGAAGTAAATCTGTCTTTATTTGCAGATATGATCTTATATATAGTAAATTCTAAAGACTTCAACCAGAAAAACTGTTAGAGCTAATCAAAAAAATTATAAAGCTGAATGATACATAAACAACACACAGAAATCAGTTGTATTTTTATAAACTAACTAAAGTATCTGAAAAAGAAATAAAACAATCAGTTCAGTAGTTCAGTCATGTCCGACTCTTTGCAATCCCATGGATTGCAGCATGCCAGGCTTCCCTGTCCATCACCAGCTCCCGGAGTTTACTCAAACTCATGTCCATCGAGTTGGTGATGCCATCCAACCATCTCATCCTCTGTTGTCCCCTTCTCCTCCCGCCTTCCATCTTTCCCAGCATCAGGGTCCTTTCCAAGGAGTCAGTTCTTCTCATCAGGTGGCCAGAGTACTGGAGTTTCAGCTTCAGCATCAATCCTTCCAATGAATATTCAGGACTGATTTCCTTTAGGATTGACTTGTTTGATCTCCTTGCAGTCCAAGGGACTCTCAAGAGTCTTCTCCAACACCACAGTTCAAAAAGATCAATTTTTCAGCACTCAGCTTTCTTTATAGTCCAACTCTCACATTCATACATGACTACTGGAAAAACCATAGCCTTGACTCAACAGACCTTTGTTGGCAAAGGAATGTCTCTGTTTTTTAATATGTTGTCTAGCTTGGTCATAACTTTTCTTCCCAGGAGCAAGCATCTTTTAATTTCATGGCTGCAGTCACCATTTGCAGTGATTTTGGAGCCCAAGAAAATAAAGTCTCTGTTTCCATTGTTTCCACATCTATTTGCCATGAAGTGATGGGACTGGATGTCATGATCTTAGCTTTCTGAATGTTGAACTTTAAGCCAACTTTTTCACTCTCCTCTTTCACTTTCATGAAGAGGCTCTTCAGTTCTTCGCCTTCTGACATAAGGGTAGTGTCATCTGCATATCTGAGGTTATTGATATTTCTACCAGCAATCTTGATTCCAGCTTGTGCTTCATCCAGCCCGGCATTTTGCATAATGTACTCTGCATAGATGTTAAATAAGCAGGGTGACAATATACAGCCTTGATGTACTCCTTTCCCAATTTGGAACCAGTCTGTTGTTCCATGTCCAGTTCTAACTGTTGCTTTTTGGTTTGCATACAAATTTCTCAGGAGGCAGGTCAGGTGGTCTGGTATTCCCATCTCTTTCAAAATTTTCCACAGTTTGCTGTGATCCACATGGTCAAAGGCTTTGGCATAGTCAATAAAGCAGTAGATATTTGTCTGTAACTCTCTTGCTTTTTCGATGATCCAGCGTATGTTGGCAATTTGATCTCTGGTTCCTCTGCCTTTTCTAAATCTAGCTTGAACATCTGGAACTTCATAGTTCTTTGTACCGTTGAAGCCTGGCTTGGAGAATTTTGAGCATTACTTTGCAAGCGAGTGAGATAAGTGCAATTGTGTGGTAGTTTGAACATTCTCTGAGATTGCCTTTCTCTGGGATTGAAATGAAAACTGACCTTTTCCAGTCCTGGGCCACTGCTGAGTTTCCCAAATTTGCTGGCATATTGAGTGCAGCACTTTCACAGTATCATCTTCCAGGATTTGAAATGGTTCAACTGGAATTCCATCACCTCCACTAGCTTTGTTCATAGTGATGCTTCCTAAGGACCACATGACTTCGAACTCCAGGATGTCTGGTTCTAGGTGAGTGATCACACCATCATGGTTATCTGGGTCATCAAGATCTTTTTTGTATAGTTCTTCTGTGTATTCTTGCCACCTCTTCTTAGTATCTTGTGCTTCTGTTAGGTCCATAACATTTATGTCCTTTATTATGCCCATCTTTGCATGAAATGTTCCCTTGGTATGTCTAATTTTCTTGAAGAGATCTCTAGTCTTTCCCATTCTGTTATTTTCCTCTATTTCTTTGCATTGATCACTGAGGAAAGCTTTCTTATCTCTCCTTGCTATTCTTTGGAACTCTGCATTCAAATGGGTATATCTTTCCTTTTTTCCTTTGCTTTTAGCTTCTCTTCTTTCCTCAGCTATTTGTAAGGCCTCTTCAGACAGCCATTTTACCTTTTTGCATTTCTTTTTCTTGGGGATGGTCTTGATCACTGCCTCCTGTACAATGTCACGAACCTCCATCCATAGTTCTTCAGGCACTCTGTCTATCAGATCTAATCCCTTGAATCTATTTGTCACTTCCAATGTATAATTGTAAGGGATTTGATTTAGGTCATACCTGAATGGTCTGGTGGTTTTCCCTATTTTCTTCAATTTAAGTCTGAATTTGGCAATAAGGAGTTCATGATCTCAGCCACAGTCAGCTCCTGGTCTGTATCCCACTCACAATAGCATGAAAGTAATAAAATACTTACAAATATTTAACCAAAGTGAAAGACAGTCAAACTTAAATGAAAGAAATTGAAGACACAAACAACAAGAAAGATAACCCGTCTGTGTTAATGGATTAGAATAATCAACATTGTTAAAATGTCCAAACTATCCAAAGCTATCTATAGTCAATGCAATCCCTATCAAGTCCCATTGAAAGTTTTTTTCTCAAAATAGAACAAAAATTCTAAAATTTGTATGGAACTACAAAAGGCTCCAAATAGCCAAAGCAATCCTGAGAAAGAAAACAAAGTTGACTTCAAAGTATACTGCAAAGCTTTAGTAATCAAAACAGTATAGTACTGGCATAAAAAAAGACACATAGTTCAAAACAGCAGACTATAGAGCCTAGGCATACTCTCCCACCCCATATACTGTCAACTAATATTTGAGAAAGGACTCAGGAACATTTAGT